GACTTGTTGAAATTGGCACGGTAAAATGGGGGGCGACTGTAGACCCCGCTCATCAGCCCCTCGGTGCGAGAGTTGTCAGTGGGCCACTCCAGGACTCCCGGGCTCTGATGTGATGTATGAGTCCTGAAAAGCAGCCCAGAACCCATCTGAGAAGAGAAATTCACTGTTTTGCAAGTTCTAGCTGAACCAAACCCATGGCTGTGATTAATAACAGTGAGGCTGTGGGCCTGGACACGCTGGAAGCTGCAGCTGCTCAGCACTTATAATCTCAGGGCTTTTTCTTAACACCGTCCCCTCTCGTAGCGGGCTTTAGCATCGCCGAGCGCTCCACCATTTCTTACCAGCTGGAAGATTACAGTCAAATAATCAAAAACAATCAGTTACTGAATGAAGGAAACAAAGGAAATGTTCCGACAGGTCATGAGATGCGTGACCTAGCTGTGGCTCAGGTAGAGAGTGGGTCGTCCACCAATCGGCAGGTCAGTGGTTCGATTCCCGGCTCCTCCAGATACTAAACACCAAATCGACCCCAATGGGCCCAACGATAAACAGTTTGTTCAACTATAAACCCTTTGTGACATAATTCATAGAAGAAGAGCATGCAGTCACACCTTGTGGTTACTTCAGACCAGGTGAATGCACAGTTCTTGATATTGTCAATTGGAAATAGAAAATTATGACGAGAGTATGATTTAATTTATGATTGATTTATGTATTCATTTATTTAATTTATGCTGCTTTAATATTTTATTTATTTAACTGCCCAGTGTGAGCAGAAGTTTTAGCCTGTGTAGTTTGAGTTATTTCAGCTGACATTAGTAAAGTCTCTGTCCAGGTTTACTGGGGGAGTTGAAACGTGTCTTTATAAATCTGGCAGAAAGTATTTGTATGCATATTTCTGTCTTTGTGCAGACGCAGGATGAGACTCTGTGCACATACAGAGTGTCACGCATCTGGTCCCAGCAGCCTTTTTGTCGCCTTTGCACATTCTTCTGTAACGATGTCATTTCATTTCATTCTTGCTCTCACTGAAATGATAATTCAACATTTGTCCTTTATTTCCCACACTGCAGGAAAATGTTTCCTGGAACTAGACTTTCTCTGGAATTGTGGGAAACCCAGTGTTGATTCCTTTTTGAAGTGAATCAGCTCCAGTTGACTATTGTTTTCCATTGAATAATGCAGCTTTATGCACGACCTGGTCGTGGTGCTGTTCCTTCCAGTGTTGATCCTTGATGTGTGCTGTCAAATTCATTTGGACAGACACCTTCACAGCTTCGCTGATGTTGATTCAGGCAACGACTACGACACTTGCGGACACACGTCTGTGTTTGCTCATGACCTCTATCCCCGAGGATCGTACCACACACACACACGCACACTGACAAATGAACACAAATTCCCGGAAAGGTACGGCAAGTGTGAAAACATGGCCTTTTTAGTGTATGTAACCTTCTAGCTGTTAGCGTTAATGTCACACACACATGGTGCGTAATGCATTCAGCATATGGCAGACGTGGACGAAGAAAGCTTTCATCGCCTTAGCGACGATATAGTACGACAACGCCGCGCCTGTCAGTGTAAAATATGAGGAGAGAACAACCAGCGTTTCCCGCCTCTGCTACAAGTCATCAACAGGCATCTGAGCTGGAAAGACAAAAGAGGAAGGAGGATGACGCTGCTCACACTTATTCTCTCATTAAGCCGGACGGGGAGCGGGAGTAATCTGTTCGTATTGTTCATACTGAGCTTGACTTTCTTTAGCCATCTCTCTGGGGTTGGTAACGTTGCTCTGTCAGCTGGTTCATCGTTTCTGGAAAGTTTGCCTTGAAATACTGTAAAAAAAAAATCCACGGTCAAATTTTTATCTATTGGTTTGATGGGTAAATAATGTGCAGATATTCGTGGTTCCGAAATGATGGTGAATCCTGATGAGTTCGGCTCCTCTAGCACGACTGGGAGGGTAATATTTCTGGATTTTAACTAAATGTTTCAGTTACTGTTTGACGGACTCCCGTGAAACTTCAACATCAGTTGTACTTTTCATTCTACCGCTGAACAACATGTTCTCTTTTGTATGCAAGTATGAATTTGTGATGGTTTCAGGTCTTAATGAACATGTTTAATTCTGCTTACGAATTATTCAGTCGTCCGAACTGGTGCTTTTGATTTATCTTAGTAGGTTTATGCAACTGACCACGAGGTGTCATTTCACCGTCCATCACCCTACAAGTATTTGAATGTTGGAAAGAAATCACTTGCACAGGTTTAATATAGTCCGTGGCAAAGTAAGCAAGATGATAATATTTTATTACTGTTGGCTTTGCAGTGTGGTATTCATTACCAACATTAATTGCTTTACAACATTTACTGTCTCCTCTGTCATCATGCAGAGGTTGATTTACCTCCCTGTGTAACTTACTTTCTCCTCCAACAGCAACACAGGCACATGTTTAAAGACACTTTACGTCTGACTGAAGGTAACATGGAGGTGTCTGGTGAAGCAGCGCGATGCGTGGTAGCCCACGATTGCCCAGTGGCTAGTTAGCCGTGCCGTTGACTCTCATTTAACACTCGATTGGCTCAAATGACACCATTACCATGTCTGCATGGCTAATGGCTTCCCCTGGGGGCCGGAGCAGAGGGGGAACATGCGTTTGGCGTGTCAGCTCGAGGTGAGAACACACATGAGCCAGACTCTGGGCCCCGTCCGCACCCAAATCAATCCTGACACCTCTTAAGAGGCTCTCAGCATCAATGGCACTCCAGTGCAATTACCTCGTCGGTAATGACATAAGCACCCAGTTCCTTCCTGCCTCTCTCTCGCCGGGCAGCGACCAGCTCCCTCAGGCCAGTAGACGGAGACGCTGTGGACCACGCTGGCCTCAGAGCAGTTGTTATTTGATCCCTTCGGGGCCCAGAGATGGAGAAGCTCTGAGCCGCGCTGGTGAGAGAGCAGCTGTTATCTGATCTCAGATGCTGTGCCGAGCCTGTCCCTCAGTCAGATTGAATGTGATGTAGCTCAGCGAGCTGTCAGGATAACCGATGTCCCAGCAGTGGGCGAAGAGGATATCCTCCGAAAGCTTCAGGTTTTAGTGATTAGTTATGATAACCTTGAAAAGTGCAGCCGGGGAACACATGATCGCCGCTCAGATTTGAGGTGATAACACGGAGGTCTCGGGGGTTTTGTGGGCAGAAAGTTTAAAAATGGGCTCCTCTGTTGAAATGTCCAGGTGTTGCTGTTTACAACCCATCAACACATCTCACGTCGAGCTGAATCAAACTTAACCTCATCGTTATTTCTTTTTTAAAATGATTGTGAGATCATTACAGTATCAACTTAGACGTTAAGATCTGGACGGTTCGTTGAATCAGAGAATTTAACTCTGATCTTAGTTCATGACAAATAGGAAAACTCGATCTGCTGAAGAATACCAAGTGATACAGTAGAAAGCACTGGAAGAGCTACTAAATTGACCTTTCAGTTGTCAAACCCTGTTGCTTTCTTTTTTTTTTTTTTTCTTGTCAATTTATTCAGTGCCAATTTGTAAGACCCTGTTCAGACCAAAATATTGATGTAATACAGCTACATTCGTTTCATTGAGGCGGATGGAGCCGGTTCTCTTGGGTTCTCTTGGGTTCTGTTGAGTTCTGTTGAGTTCTGTTGAATCCTTCAAACTGATGGATGTACTGTATTACTGGACTTCCTGTTTTGTATTTCATCGTCTCAGCGGTGCCTATAGCAACACACCTGTAACAACGTAGCCCGCTGCATTTTTTTCAAAGCTATTTTCATTAAGTACATGCACATACAAAGGTCGGCCGCTCTGTTATCCTGGAGGTCGTTGACCTGACCTGTAGTGGGTGTGGAGGTTCGTGTTATCTCTGCCACATATTCCACCTCCCCACCCCGACAAAGACGCGATCCCTCATCACCTTCTCACCTGCGAGCTGGAGCCAAGCTACAACACAGCGCCTCTGCTTGGAGCTGAGTCCCCGGCTCCGCTGCGGGCTCTCCGCACCCAGGCGCCAAAACACTTTGTCTTTCTAACTGCCCAACAAAAACACACAGCTCCAGTCTGCGTCCTCGTGTTTTTCCGCTCCGTTGAAGCCCTAATCTTCTGTGTAACGGCTTTGGTGAAGAAGCCCTAGATTTTGGAGGCCATCGCGGTTTCATGTCTCATGGCAGGTACCGCTCTGCTCGCCCTCTAATTGTATCATGTGGTGCTTGGTGCCACAAGCGGCGGTTCAGACTCTCTTCCAGCAGTGCCAAATGAAAGCCAAGGTTCAGTGCAGCCGATGCCAGAAGAAATGAGGCGGTCTGGCTTCGACCGGGATCTGCAAAAAGAGAAACACAATGTTTGCCCAACGCTCCCTCTTTCTTCTGGAGGCGGTCTCAGCTCCAGCTCGTTTAAATGAGGCTCTTGTTGTTGGTGTTGGTGATGTTGTGGGCTGCATGTTGTATGGTATATTTCATCTATTTCCATGGGCATGCCTTCCCCCCTTCCTCTCTTTGTGTCCTTCCCTGTTGTGTTAACGGAGGCCTTGAAGTTGGTTGGATGGATATTAAGTGCTATTGTTGGCCGGTGAGGTGATGCATTCTTTGTGCTGGATGTGTTTGGGAGAGAACAGAGGTGCTAGCCATGGAGTTAGCATCTCGGTAATACAAGCGTGACCACAGCTGGCCTCCAACCTGCCAATAGTTCAACACTGACACTTCAGTTTCTGCAGGCGTCTTTCTAGTTGTGACTTTCTCACCTTTTCACCTTCACCCTCTCTCTCCAAAGTCTCCTCTCTGCTTCTTGGAGTTTCTTTTCTGTCATTGTCTCATTGTTAGTGAGTGTGTACATGATTTATGTGTACTAGCATCATTTGGTTGATTTGTGGTGATTACACCAAGATGCCCCATTTCATTTGATAATTAAACACTCATGAAATATCATCACAGATCATCTTTGACGTATAAAGTGCAAATAAAGCATGTTCCACTTCTTCTCCAGGACCCTCCGGGAGGTGGGCGTGTATTTTCTGGGATCCAGCCGACTGGGGTGCCCCACCTGGGCAACTACCTGGGTGCCCTGGAGAACTGGGTGGCCCTGCAGAACCGGTATCCATCAGTGCTCTACAGCATCGTGGACCTGCACTCCATCACGCAGCCACAGGACCCGACCCAGCTGAGGACCAACATCCTGGACATGGCAGCCAGCCTGCTGGCCTGCGGCGTCGACCCAGAGAGAGCGATACTCTTCCAGCAGTCTAAGGTGGGCGGAGCATCGATGCTGTATTTCATAACTTTTGATCCATGACAGTCACAGGAGTTTTCTATGTAACAGACGCTATAACCACAATGGCAACATGAAGTAGCTAATTAGCATAAAATAAAAACTGTATCTGGGCATTTAATTTACATGCACATTGATGTTATGGGAGAAAGAGTGAATGCTATGAGAGATTTAAGGGCATGTGTTACTGAAAATCAAGTATAAGTCAGGGTTGTAAACATTACAACATGTTGTTGCTTCATCTGATTAATGTTTTTTTAAATATCAGGCTCAAAACTTATTGATTATTGTTATGATTAATTATTCATTTGTGCGCTCTGGAAGTTATTTTCCCAATTGATTGGGAAACAGGAAATGGCAAAACAACATTGGGAATCGATTGATTGTGTAATACAAAGAGGCTTCTCTGATGTTTAGTCAACCCTCACTGATTTGAATGGGTTGGACAAAATAATAGGAACACCCGTCACCATAACACAATGCAGTTCAACAGCCCCACAAATTCCAAAATGATCATGACGTTAAATCGACACCTTTAACACAGTTTCAACAACATCTGAACGTCGAATCCTTCATGAAGGAGGTTTTATTCCAGGACTGTTGTTTTAGTTTTAGCTAGGTGTACCTAATAAACTGACAACTGTGAGCACGTCTCTTTTTTCAAAGTGCTGCTGGTGGCAGTTTGTCGTCTAGACATTTGGCCGTTTATTTCAGTTCTGTCGACTCAGCAGTGTTTACCTGCTGACACGCTGTCCGCTCCTGATTCTTATCTCTAGGAAAACACACGCCGCCGCAGCGTCCTGCTTCAGTCACATGAAGGAAGTGAGAAGGGAAAATGTCAGATTCTGTGTTTGCAGCTGATTCCAGATTTCAGGTTTAAAATCACAGCGATGACGGAAAGAGAAATCACAGCTGTTTGTTTCTCCCTTGATACTGAGTGTGTCTGCGTGTGTTTTGTTTTCTTCCTCACAAGTTTAGATAGCTCAGTCCATCTGTGTTTCTCTGCCCACCCCCTCCCCTACACACACACACACACACACACACACACACACACACACACACACACACAGAGAGACATCCAGTCCTATTTTTACTCCCGTTTAGCTTCATGCCACATAACTTGGCAGCGCAGGGACCCTCCTGTTGAACACGCCTGCTCCACATGTAAAAATACAACGGCTGCCCAAAGAAAATACTCAACTTCTTCAGTGAAAAAAAGAACAGAACCAGTGACGAGCTGAACTCAGTGGTATCAGAAATAAAGTGAATGAATCAGCAAATCCATAAATCCTCTGGGTTTTTCTAAAAGTATCGAGGAGGGAAGTAGATTTACTGTGGAGGACCAACTGTTAGCTTTTCTCTAAAATCCCTCCTTTTATAATCTGAAGGGGTTGTTGCCGTGGCGGTATCACAAGCCGCTATCAGTGTAATGCCCGTATGATCCGTAACATTAGCATATCTCTTGTTGCGGTGCATTCCTGCCATGCAGCATGAATAGAAGCCTTGTTCTTCCCAAGCCTTTAAATATCAGAGTTTTATTGCACTTCAAACCATATCCATCCCTTCCTGCGCTGTCATCAACATCTGTCCCATCTCTTGTCTGTCTGCAGTGTGTAATGAATACCGACCCCCTACATGTTAGCCTCAAATCCTGGTTTATGTCCCTGCTGTCTGGTGTTGACGTCACGCTCCCCAGAATGCTTTTCAAGCACCAAGAGAAAGCGAGGATGGCGATATAGCCAGTGTCCATAAACTTTAATTTGCTGAAGCAGAAGCATATTTCCTGCATGCATGCACACACACACACACACACACACACACGCACAAGCATTGTTTTCATATCTATGACAGCCTCTATGAAAGAAGATATGTTGGAGTTAATTTACCACTGCCAGATGCACAAGCTACGCTACATTAACATTCACCTCTTCATTGCTGCACAACAACATGTCATTATTATTAATATTATTATTATTATATTTCACAATATTAAAAACAGCTTTTTTTTTCTTTTTTTTTTTCCTCAACAATAAAAATGAACTACTTCAATAAACAAATCACCAACCTAACTTAAGGGGCAGATGCACCAACCTGTGCGACAACAATAAAAGCAGATGGTGTGTTAAAAGTGGCAGGAAGTTTGGATTGTGTCCTGCTGAGAGATTTGAAATGCAGCTGTTTACTGTTGCACACACACTCGTGAAAACCTCTGGTTAAATAAAGGTTCAATAACAATATTTAAAAAAAACGTTGTATTTATATCTCTGTCTAACGGGCTTCAGGTTTCTGGGTGAACACAGGTGTGAGCTGGTGCACCTGTGTGGAACAGATATAGAGGTGTAGAAAGGCAGTGCTGTTCTCTGCCACTTGGAGGCGCTAGGGAGTTACCCTCCTCTTCGTCCTCCACAGCTGTCCCACACCAGAGCTCTCCATCCGTTCATCTGTGTTTGTTTAATCTCTCTACTTAATTTATTTCTTCTCTTTATCTCTTGTGTGCTGGTCTGTGGTTTCCAGTGAAGTAACCATAAACAAAATACACTCAGGCAGTTTGCATGATGTGTGTATACAGGATGTAGATACACGTATATAATTATATAATAATCAGCCTCACAAACCAACGCTTAACATTTGCACACAGCCCAGTAGAAAAGAAGAATGTAACAAAAAGAGAAAGAAAAACCACAAAGAAAAAATACACAGCAAATTACAAACACAGTTCAGTCCTGTGTATTAATTAACGAGCCGACAGTTTTGCAGATGCCTGTGAGATAATTACAGAGAGCTCTGGTGGTTAAATATGAAAAAGTAAAGATCCAGAATAAACTAAACCAGGACTGGACCAGAACGTACGACCCAGTGAAAACAAGTTATGGCATCGAGGATAAAAGGATTCAATTCAGGATATGTTTTGTTCTTGCAGAATGAATGCTTGTAGAATAATGTACACGTGTGTGAGATTATAATTTTCTGATATTGGACGTGTCCCCACCCTGCAGGTGTCTGAGCACGCTGAGCTCTCCTGGATCCTCGGCTGTCTGACCAGCATGCCCCGCCTCCGACACCTGCCGCAGTGGAAGGTGACGCAGACACTCACACTCACACTCACACTCACACTCACACTCACACTAATGATCAGTGAGACTGTCGGAGCAGAGAAAATGATCTTATAAGTGACTTTTTCAGTGTGGTGAAAGAGATTTTGATTGTTTAAGGGGTGAGTGAGTATTTCTGATGCTTGATTTATAATTCTAATCGTTGCTGTGGTGTGAGGTATTTAAATAGGATTATAAAAGCACATTATTTTCTTTTAACAAACCTCTTAACCATTTAAATGTTGCTGATGACAGAACATTTACTTTACAAACATCTTTTAAAAGTTTATATCGATTTAAAATCCGTGTCTGTCATTATTTTTTAAGATGTATTTTAACATCTTCAACAATTATATAATTAATTTAATACTTTTTTTGCCAATACTAACAGTAATGTTTTTATCTCAACAGCAATAATCACCAAATAATAAAAACATATTGATAATAATTAAGTAATTGATTTGTTTTTTTTTTTAAAACCTTTATTTGAAGGCGTCCTGTTTAGCTTTTTATCAGCACTAGATAAACATTTAATAAGTGGTTTATAACAATATAACTCTTCCTGTGGACACACACACACGTGGAGGCTGCTGTATAAACAGTTCATAAATATATTGTATTGTAACAATATTGTAAAACACAGTCATAATTATATCAAATATGCCTTTGTAGGAGGACTCATAATAACTGCAGATGAAGACTTTAAAATGCTCACTCGGCTGAATGTGTATCATGAGTTCACGCTGAGTCCTCACCACAGTGGCTCTCTCTCTCCCCTGCCTTTCCTCTCTCTCTCTGCTGTCACTGTCCAAAAGTAAAGGCAGAAATACTAAGTTGTTAAAAGACAAAAACTATAAACAATAAAATACAGAGGTTTAAAATGATAAATTTACCTTCTGGTTTCCTGATCTGTTGGTTGGAGAATCAGGAATATGAGGCAGAGATCATCTCAACTACAAAGACTGAAAATCTTCATTCTCAAGTCTCGGATAACAAAGATTGAAGCCGTTTGACTGGATGTAGCTCACTGCTCTTTACTCATAGATCATTTCTTTTCCAAGGTTTAAAAACACACAGATTCCTCTCTCCAGCCTCTTCGTCATGGAGATCCAGGACTAAATGATATTATGAATCGGCTGATGTGAAATCAAATTGATGTTGTGGTCGGATCTTCAAACCGTATCGCCGACTGAAGATGAGAAGTATTAATTTCATAGCTGAACACAATTAAACAGAGACTTTAAATCCAGCCTGAGTTTCTGTTTTCTGAAGCCAAACTTTAATCTGAAGATGAAGATGGTTCCTTTTACAGAAAATTACATATCTTGGGATTATTATTGAGACTATATGTTTACTCCCTCACTGGTTCAGAATCATGTTGATTTAATTATCACCATTTCTGCACTTAATTTCAAATTAAAATCCCTCCTTTTCCCCCCTCCCTCTGAATTCGCTGCAGTTATTCAGCGTCTCTGTTTGTTTTATTGTTTTATTTTCTCTGCTCCACCTGCCAGATTTTTAATTCCGGTGATTTTCTCCCACCACATGCAGTTTTTAGTGCATGTTGAGAGGGAGCCAGCGGCTCTCTGCTCTGGGTCTCTGTTGCTACATAGAAAACACCTTTTTGTTTTACCCAACAGCTGAGTTGATCTCAAACACGGTGGAAAATGTCACGTTAACTCATCCGTGCCCCGTTTGTCTGAGAATCAATGAGTCGTAAAAGTGAGAACGGCTCTTCCTGGGGGAAAGAAAAAAAAAAAAGTCAACTGGAGTCTGTGCTGCCTCCTTATTTCAGCTTGTGTTCTTTCTTCATTTCTGCTTCTGTCTCAACTTGATTCTCTCCATCTTCTCATCCAGATGAAGAGCAAACTGAAGAACGAAGGCAGTGTCGGTCTCTACACGTATCCTGTCCTCCAGGCTGCTGATATCCTCCTTTACAAGTGAGATAAAGTTTGCCATTGCATCTCTTAATGTAAGATTGACCATCATGATTGAGCTGCAGCCACTAAAGCTCCTTTCTCTGTCCAAAGAGCACTTATTGGCTGCTGCTGCTTTGTATAATTTTATTATTATATCCCAGCACTGAAGCCAGATAAAGGATGCGTCAACTGTTTTTCAACCCAAACTTAAAACTTAAAATGTAGGGTTAGGGGTTTTCTTCAGGTGCAGATGAATGGGATTAAAAAATAAAGTCGGTACTTCCTGGTTTCTCATTGTTAGAACATACAGACACGTGCTTCCATCCTGTGTTCAAAAGCAGGTTCACTTGAATATTGTGAGTCTGGAAAGTCGAGCATGTGAACTGCAACGCACAACCGTGAGGTGCTAATTCTAGTCCGCGGTTTATCCAAAGTGACGTTTATCATTTTCAGGGAGCAACTAAATAAAACTCCATTCACCTCCGTTGTGTGGGAGCAGAGACAACAAATAAATCACATTCACGTCAACGTCCTGCTCGTAATTACGACTGAGCAACTCAGTGTCTCGGAAACGAAACAAATATGGACGCCTCACATCAGGCGAAGATCGACGTTAATGTGATTAAAGCCACATTTAATGGATAAGGTTATGGTTATAATGTCAGGGCAAGTATTTTAATCCGGACCGATAAAAGTGTATCAGACTTGAATGCTGGGAAACTCGGTGTGACTCAGTGTTTGTGGTGCAGTCAGTGGATTCTGGTGTGAGCAGAGTGATCACATCAGTTGGTGGTTGGATTGTTGTCGCTCAGTGAAAATTAATATTTCAGCCACATAACTATGAATAATTCGTAAGTTATCTCTTCATCTGTTTCTATTCAAACCATCAAACGGCTAAAAGCTAATTTCCTGTGAGAAAAGGATGACGTGGCAGATAAAAACCTCACCTCTAACGCTCTTCAGATTTTATTAAAGAGGAAATGAACGGATTGCTTCCTCCTGAGCGACAGCTGCGAAGTTGACACCAAGTTTTGCCGTGTGTTTCAACTCCTGTGTCGTCACCGTTCACTACTTGTTCAGGAAGTCGATGTCGTGTCGTGTGTTCGTCTCTCAGGGCCGCTCACGTCCCCGTTGGAGAGGATCAGGTCCAGCATCTCGAGCTGGCTCAGGACCTGGCTCGCATCTTCAACAACAACTACGGAGACCTGTTCCCTGAACCCAGCGCCCTGCTGAGTAAGAACACACACACACACACACACACACACACACACACACACACCCTCAGGGCACATTAAAGACATTTCTTTAGTATTAGCAGCTGTTTGAATGAGAAATAAACTCTTAAATGGAGTTTGTTGTATTTTAACTGAGTTGTACATGTTAACGGAGACAGTGCAGCAGCGATTTCTGAATTAAATCTCCATTTGTTTATCATGGAACATGGTTTTGTCCTTAAACCTTTATTCTCTCAAAACAAGTGAAAAGAAAATGACCAATAAAGTCTTAATATTTTGATCAGTCTAAATAGAAATCAGCTTGTTTCAGTAATAATTCCTGGTAAAAATGAAAAATGTATCTGGAAACAAGAAAGAACTGAGCACGTTGCTTTGGTGGAGTTCAGACAGAATAAACTTGATTTTAGAAAATACTTAAAACAAGTTGATTTGCACTGGAAACAAGGTGTTATGTTCTCACTGCACTGACAGCTTTTCATTTGTTTTAGAAAAATAACATTTTCAGAATTAAATCACGGACGTTTTTTTTTTTTTTGAATGATTGTTGAACTAAAGAGAAAGATTTCCTTGTGTTTGAGTTCGGAGCGGCTCACAGACACTGGTGATGCCTGATGTCAATACAATAATTTATATCATCAAACCCCGTTTTAGTTGCTGGAAATAAATGAATGATGATGATGATGATGATGATGTGACATCATCAGTGTTTGTCCAGCAGCAACTGGAATAACAGAAACAAACAGGAAATGGCAAAACAACAAATGTCAATAGCTGTGTGTTTAGGTTGCATCCAATTTTTGAATGTAATTTAATTTTATGCCTTCGTTAGGTTTTAGAGAGACGACGGGGAACAAAAGAGACAGATGGAGAACCAGTCATATTTCAGCCGGTCGGCATCTTTAACCCCTCAGCCACAGAATCGCCCCGTTTGAAAACTTATTTCACAGAGTTCGTTTTACAGGATTTATTTTTAGGTCGTATATTTGCTGTCGCCAATGCTTGGATAGAGATGAATAAGGAAAGCTTCGTGTTTTCTGCTTCAGGCCGCTGGGAATAGTCTGTAGAAGGAAATTAAAACGAGGGAACTCGTATCTCCGGCCAAATTCAAGACGGCCGCAAATTCTGTGGTAAATGACGTTTGTAATTGTCTCTTTTCATGGCTGTTTTTTCAGCCTTTAGAAGTGTTGTTGTCTGTTTTTTGTTTTGTTTTGTCAAAGTCTGTCAAAGACTGTTAGCCAGGTCTCCGTCCTCAAACAGGCTGCGTGAATATGTAAAAGTTAAAATATTAGGCCTTGACATGCAATAAAACCTTTTATTTTATTTTATTTTATTTTGGAATCATTACTCTCTCTCACACACACACACACACACACACACACAGTCAATATGTTCAGAGAAGGTCCCCCCCCCTCCCCTCAGCTTCCCCCCGGTTTCATTCTCCTTGATTATCAGTATCATAAAAGCACAAGATGGAGTCAGTCATGTGTGCAGCGCAGCTTTGATTAAAGAAATATTTTCTTCCTCTTGTATCAGAATAACAGAGTGATAATAGATTTGGGGGAAGATGTCCTCGAGATGACATCAGAGGGTTGTGTGTGTGTGTGTGTGTGTGTGTGTGTGTGTGTGTGTGTTTGGCTCAGACTGGTGGATCCCATCTTTATTTCTTGTCTTTGGCCGAGCGGAGCTGCCAGTCACCACCTTCCCTTTGAAACCAAAGACTATTTTAAGATTTTTTTTATTTTTTTATTTTAATTTGCCTGAAATGAGGACGTCTCCGTGGTGATGAACAGCATGTGACAAGCGGGACAGATGTGGACTGATAGAAAAAAGAACTGCAGCCTGCAAGATGGCGGAAGGATGGCGTTGATAAATAAGGAACGAAAGGAAATCCCGGCTCCCGCAGTCTGCTCATCACTTCACACCGAGATACGTCTGCTTCACACTGGGACGTTTACACACACTCACACACACATGCACACACACACACACACACACACACACTCACTCACTCACTCCAGGCAACAGTAATGAAACTGTAGTCCTTCATTCATCCCCGCACCGTGCCTCTTATTTTATCATTTAACTTCCTCTGACTCTTAACGAGATTCAGATCCACATCTACTGTGTCACGCCGTGTTAAACCAGCAGGACGTCCTCATCTGAGTTTAAAAAGATAGACGCAATAAACTGCACTAAAACTTTTAGGCATTTACCAAAATAAAATACTCAGAAACATGACTCTTTATGTCCTAAAGAAGCGTCATGATTAGTTAATTGTAAGAAAATTTGTCAACAGCAATTTTAAATCACCGATTAATCGCTGAAGTCAGATTTTAAGGGACAGGCGGATCCTCATTACAGCCCTCACTTTTCAAAATCCTGTAATTTTCCCATCACCCATTTCTACATTTTCAGTTTGATTTACTCACTAAAAACTCTCTGATGTTTTGTCTGAACGTCCAGTTGACAACTAAAGAAGAAGAAGCTCAGAGTTGCTCCTTTAACTCACAGCATTAAACTGCACAACCTGATTTCTGCCCTGGTTTTTGCCTGTCAGGCTAAATACAAGCTGCCCTCTGATAGGTGGAGGTTGTTGAAACACTTTTAAAAGCTCTGGATCCACATTTTACTTTGATTTATAGTTAAATTTTTATTTTTTATTTTTTTGGATGGATGCAAATACAACATTATCAGAAATTGTCTGTATTATTTATTATTTTTTCTTCGTCCAAACCTACGCCCTCCTCCCTCCCTCCCTCTCTCTGAACAGTGGCGCTTGCAGCTGAGTTTTGTGACTTCTATAAATATGGCAGAGAAAGATTCTTCAGTCTGATCAAGAGCAGCAGTAATTTTGCGATGTGTCACTTTCTGTAGCTGCTGCAGGTCTCATTTCACACCGGATAGATTGTTAGGAAACACTTCTCATCCTACTGATGTGTCTCTCAAAACTGTTTCCCTCCGCAGGTTCTACACGAAAGGTCAAATCCCTCCGTGACCCCTCTGCTAAAATGTCCAAGTCCGACCCCCAAACAATGGCGACGATCACCGTCACAGATCCTCCGGACGACATCGCTCTCAAAATCCGCCGCGCTGTCACCGACTTCACCTCTGAGGTCACCTTCGACCCGGAGACGCGTCCAGGTGTGTCCAACCTGGTGACAATCCACGCCGCCATGGCGACGATCAGCGTGGAGGAGGCGGTGTCGCAGGCCAGAGGGTTGGACACGGGAGCCTATAAGAAGCTCGTAACCGAGGCTGTGATCCAGAGGTTGACGCCCATCAGAGAGGAGATCGAGAGGCTGAGGTCGGAGCGGGCTCACCTGGAGGCGGTGCTGGCCCGGGGGAACGGCAGGGCTCGGGAACTGGCTGCACCGGTCCTCGGAGAGGTCCGGCAGCGACTCGGGTTCTGCTGAGAGGCAGCTGGGCTGGAAAATAAAGCCACATTTATACTGCAGGTCTCGCTCGGTACTTAACTGCTGCTGCTGCTGATATAAAATTTTATTCCGATGACTGTTTACATTTCCAGGATAGTCGAGGATGTAATGCATTTATAACAAAACGTGTTGAAAGCGGCGTGGAAAAGACTCAACTGCAGACCAACGTCACGTTTAGACTAAAAACTCTCACTGAAATGAATGAGGAGGCGGCAGCAGAACCAGAAGAAAACAAGAAGAAAACATGTCCCTGTTGTTTTTATGTGTTCCACTCACTCTTTTTAAAGACATTGCAACTTATTTATCTTCCTGTGTTTCCCCCCAAAAAACCACACAAACGATCTTTTTGTTATTTCCAACATTTTGTCATTTCAAAATGAAATATTCTCATTCAAACATGTAACACGTCCTTATTAAATATAACTTATTTGATTTGACTGTTGGAACACAAATTGAATTTAAATCACAGGTGTTAAGATCCGATGTCCGTGGTTCTGTTCACACTGGCAGCTTAATCAGATTTCGTTGTATCTAGATTGGAATCAGATTAGATTTATGAAATCTGGACTGACAAAGACAAAACACAGTTCATCAAAAGTGCTTCACAAAGCTGAAAAAGCAAAAGATCTGACAGTTAAAAGCTGCTGCAGAGGGTAAAAATGCATCACAAGTATCAACCCGCAGGAGTTTATTGAATGTAATAACTCAGTCATGGCTTTGAAAATCTGATCTTCAGTGCATAAAAAAAGGTAAGTTATACTCTGATCACTGTTTGTCTTTGTACTGAAGATCAGTGAAGAGCATCAGAACTAAAACCCACTAATGAGCGGTGTCGTCTCATTCTTGATTGCTTGCAGAGCAGCAGACAACCCGTCAGCATCATCAGGGCAGGACTGAGGTAATAACGTCAGCCCAGGCCAACCTCCACACACACACACACACACACACACACACTCACGAGTAACACGCTGTTCAGTGCAGACGGGTTGTAGCGAGAATGTTTTTCTGTTGACTGTTTCTGCCAGTAACACACTCCGTGGCCAACGAGTGGACCGTAAGGCAGAGCAGTGGATTTGGACTCCGTCCGATTGCACAGGTGTACCCAATAAAGTTATTTTACTTTTACTACCAGACACAAAAACTCCTTAAAAAGACTCAAAAATAATTTAAAAAGCAGCCAAATGTTTTCAGTTGCAAGCATTAGTTATAATGTTATATATATGTAATGTTTGTGCACTTTTGCAGTGTTTGTTTTGTTGTCTGTGCCGGAACATCGTGCACAACACTGACTCATCACAGCCGCAGTGACGTCAGAGTAATTATCATCTGCTGGGTTTCAGCTCTGCAGCTTCAGACTCGTCGTCAGGCTTCAGGAGACAAAAGGTCAGAGACGTGAACTCGGAGGTAAAGAGCCTGAGCACTGACACTGAGGTGATGGAGGGAGTGTGACATTCACCTGGACTTCTGCTTCTTCTTCTTCTTCTTAATTTTACTGTTTTGTCTTTTTAAGTAATTTAAAAAAAAAAATAATAATTTCCACAAATTCACGTGCACTCTTAACTTTGAATCCACACACACTTCAGATTTTCACCATAACACACACACACACACACACACACTTCAAAGGATACAGTGCACATAGTTCCACAGTAACACACACAGTAATTTATCTGGTTTTATCTGTTTCTTTGCTGTACTGCTATAAACACCTACAGTATTCCTGTAACGACTTCAACACGTTTAATGTCATTAATTTATTTATTTTCTTCCTTACATTCTTCCCTCTTTGTTCCCTTATTCCCTTTTTTTTCCATTCCTTCTTTTCTTTCTTGTGTTCTTTAATTTTCTCTCCTGTGTTGTGATTCTTTCTTTCTTTCTTTCTTTCTTTGTCTTTCTTTTCTCCTTTTTCTTTGGCTCTGGACTCTTCCTCATCCCTCATTCTTTCTTTCTTTCTCCCTTTTCTGTCCTCCTTTGATTTTTGCCTGTCTTCTCCTCTTTCTTGTATTTCATTTTACATTTTCATTCTTCCTCTCTTGGTTGTACCCACTCCTCTGCTCACAGTTCATCCTCCTCCTGTCTCTGCTCCTGCAGTTTAAACTTTCTGCTCTCCGCCTTCATATTTCCTCTAATTGAAAATGCATCTCTCTAGTCTTGTAATATTCCTGCAGGAACTCACACCATCACCCACACACACACACACACACACACACTATGGAGCTAGACTGAGCTAAGGTTTTTCCATCCTGGTGTTTACCTGGGAACAGCGCGTATCCGCGCTTTTTTTTCTCTGTTGGCATAAGCAGCTGACAGAATATAAATAAAAATATATAGACTATATATACACACACACACACACACACACACACCGAGCAGCAGGCTGTAAATCACAGCGACCTGCAGCAACACGACAAATCCGTGTTTCAGTGCACCGTGAGAGGCGGCAGTGATACCGGCGCTGTCTGATTTAATATGAAAACGACGCCGCAACTGAAGCGTTTTACCGCAGGAGTAAAAACTTTTAATGGAGCCGTAATAAATGTTCGTTTTTAAAGAAACGGCGGTAAATGGAAACGCAGTCACGTGGAAACAGCAACAGTCCGCGTGGAGACAAAGTCAATATAATAATGAGACATTTCACTGATGATAAAGTCAGACTGAGTCCAGTCAACATGAAGCCCCCTTCACTCATCAACACGGGGCCGGACACAGGTTGTTATTAATCAGCTGATCAAGCAGCTTTTTAAAAATAATTTATGATGTCATCACAGGATTTTTTATTAGCGATATATTTCTATATATGCTACAGTAGATCATAGAGCGTGTGTGTGTGTGTGTGTGTGTGTGTGTGTCAGTCAGGGGGTTACACTTCAGTTGTCTTATCTTACTTTCAGCTCTGTAGCTTTATTATCTCCTGCAGTTTTCCTAACAGTGAGTAACTGATGAATCCTGTCTCTATGGCAACCAAAGAATCACAGGATTCTGCAACATCTTTTAAAGAACATCAGGATGATAAGATAAACCTTTTATTACAATTTCATTGGTTCACAATAAATGATCCATTTCAGTCAGGGCGATCCCCCTTCTGCTGTTTACAGCTGCATGAGAGCAGGTCAGACTCTGCAGAGTCAGACTGAACATTTATAATACAGAGAACATAAAATATATATTATAAAGAAATATGTGACCAATCACTGTAAAACAATATGTAATCAACACACATCAAGACCCTCCACCACAAGAAGTTTAAACACTCACATCCAACATACAAGTGACAATAACAGGCTTTAATAATAATCATTTTAGTTATTTATTTGTTAGGCAGTTAGTTTTCTGTCATAACATTAGAATATGACTTTAACCCATCATTGCTGCTTTATTATAGGCTATATATATATATACTGTATATATATATATATAATATTATATATATATATTATTTTATTATTACTATTTTTATAATTACATCTTTAGGATTTATTGTAGTTTTTGACGTCATAAAACAAAAGAAACGCCCTGCATGGACGTTTTTAGAAAACGACCAGGAGTGTGTTATTATGGGCTGTTCCTCTCTTTATATGGAGCTGCTCTGTGGAGCCTAAACCTTTTTAAAAATATAACTTGCATTCAAATGTTTATTGACCTGTTCTACTACTATAATAAAAATCTCTTTCATCTTCCTGGAAAATTCAGACATAACCACATTTCTTCTAGTCTCGTGCACATGATCAGAATATTTATCTGCATCTTTGATGTTTGATTTTTTTTATGTGTTGTTCACTTGTTTTGTTCCCGGGTCGTTAACTCTTAAGGGCAATGTAAAACAAAGCAGCCTCTTTATTAATCACAAGTCCTCCCCTGTAAAAGGGAACATGTGAGGCTTAAAAAGCTGAACTCTGACCTCTAGGTTGTGATCATCACAGAGACACGATGTCTCATGAAATGCGCAGTTTAACGCCAGAAACAGCATCTTAGAAAAACCGGATGCAGCTGATTTAGTCTTTTACAACTGAAAATGAGCGTCAGGTGAATTTAGCCTCTTCGAACAACAAAGTCTCGGTCTTCACATCCTCCACTTCTCCTGCTGCTGCAGTTCCTGTCCACACGGCTACATTCAGTCCTGTGCTGTGCCCGGGGCGGCCGGAGCTCAAACAGCCCGAGAGCCGCTGTCACTGCGGATACTTTACTGCGAGCTGCGGGCCTCATCCTCCGGGGCCGGGCGGGGTCAGAGTCTTTCTTCTTTCTCTAATTGAATATTAACAGCACGTTTGAGCGTTTCCGCCCACCTTCCACGGGATGAGGTCAAAAAACAAGTCAGATTTCGGCTTCATGACCCTGTGTGTATGTGTGAAGAGTCCAAGGAGGGAAAAAAGTAAAAACCAAACAAACTGGCAACAACAGAGTTTCAGTCCTAATGTGAGATGATGCCAGAGGAATTCAGAAAATGTTTGAGAGGAAATATCTGAACCTTATAAAAAATCTTCTGTAAAACCTCTGGAGATGTTAATCTGATGTGGTTCAACAGAATCAAACTGCTGTATTGTGGATGACTGAGATGCCGTCGCGGCTATAAATGGGATCTAAACAGCAAACAGTTGGTTTTAGTTTTTACTGCTGGTGTGTAACGACTTTCCTCCCATTGGGATCTCACTACATCCCCCCCCGCCCGCTCGCTCCCCAAAACACACACACACACACGCGCGCGCGTGCACGCTGAATGATTACTTTGCCATAATTTTACGCACAAACATTTACTTGAACAAAAGCATTCAATTAAAATCGTTTAGAAAATAAGACTCCACTTATTATTGCTGTTTAATTTCCAATTAAAATGATAATCATTTAATTTCTTTCTGCTTATTCTTCCATTATTCACCGACTGGCGGATCAATAATTAGTTTTAAGCTCAAAACAATGATTTTTATTGACAGTCGTAAATGTCAATATAAGAAATGTAAATATTATCTGATGCTTCGGTCTGTGCAGAATAATTTTAGGGTACATTAACCTGGACGAAAAGTCACTTAATTATAATGATATTATTTATATCTATATATAGTATATGGCCAATTACATTCATTAATATTTCCGTCATGACGAAAGCCTGTCAGAGGGAAACCATGAAACCAAACGCTTCTGATTTTTCTACAGGATGTGAAATATTCCGACACAGTTTTTTTTTCTTTATTTTTTAAACTTATTTATGTTCTGTTGCTTTTCTCTTAATTTGTTCAGATGTTCTTCACTTTATTCCACAGTTTCTGCGCAGGTATAATTCAGGTGCGCGCTTGTGTATAATGCTCATTTGAAGTTGACGGATGCTCAGCGGTGACCTTTGGAGAGCTTCACCTCCAGGAGCCGCAGGTTGACTCCGGGCCGCCTGATCTCTTCGTGTTTACCTCAGACAGGAAGTGTGTTGTGATTCTTTTTTTTTTTCTTTCTCCGCGGTAGGAAGTGATCAGCCTCTGGTCTCCGGCCTGTGCGCCTCTTCCCGGGCATCAAGGCCCGCGGAGAGCAGCTCGTCAGCGGAGCCACGTGTTTTTAAGAAGCGATAAAAGCGACAATCTTCAACGAGTTTGACGAAAAGCTGCTGCAGCAATACAACCTGTCTGCATTAATAATGTTATTATTAGGCCTACATTTATTACTATTTCATTTAAATATTTAATAGTAGCAGTAGTCTGCTATATTATTCTATATATTTGTTCACAATGTTTTGGAAAAAACTTTCTTGCATTAGACAAAAAAAATTGTTTTTTTTTCAGAACAATAGTAAAAACAAATTAGAATCGATTCGATAAAAAAAAGATTTAATTGAATAAGTGATGCGTCACTTTATTCTGCGCCATTGTTCAGTGGTTGATCAGTTGCAGGGATTTGGCTTC